TTATTATCAGTTTTTTATCATAAATTCAAATGTCAACTACAACTTGATAAAGTTCATTTAATAAAAAATAATACGTGCACTACATCACACAAATGGTACCATTAATTTGAATCAGTCAAAGTTTGTGTGGTTTAGAGTATTCAGAACATTGTGAGTGTGAACCTAAAGTTTTGTTGAAGAGAAATTAATGCATTTGTCAACAAACCAGTTGTCAATCCACCAACTCTATTTATTATTAAAGAAAGCAACATTACATTTTGGTGTGTTCGATAGGAAGGAACATATTTTCTAAGTGTTTTTAATTTTTTTTCATATTCAACTGGTTGAAATGTTTTAGAGAACATTTTCTCTAATACAAGAGGAAAATAGTTGTCTTAATGAAAGTAGTAAAAACCAAGTTTTATAAGTGATTTTTCAAGTTCATTGTCTTCTCCTCACTATTCAATGCCCGCGCCACCCGAATCTCACTCCCCTCCCCTCCCACCCCATCCAACCTCTATAGTGTCTTAATTTCTAAATTACATATAAAGATTATAGAGACAATATTTTCTTGCTTACTTACGAAAACTAGGTAAGAAACTCACTTATTTTTCAATAAAGTTTTTCTAGAAAAATATTTTCCTTCATACCAAAAACACCCTAGATGAGTTTTCATTTTTTACTTCCCACTCAGTGTCTGGTACTCGCAATGAATTATTCCAAATTCGCGCCGCATAGAATCCCATTCGGAGGAAACACTCTCAATCAAGGATTTTTCCACACCTCAGATTAAAACCTGAAACCTCTAATTAAGGTAATAGCAGCTCCCTCCACTACATCACAACCTGTTTTGTTTGTTCATGAAGAAATGATTTTATAAGAAAAGTAGTAGTTGATTTTATTCATGTGCTTCATTATTCATGCTTTCATATACTTTGACTAACAAAACCTAGAGAGAAAAAATGGCCTATGCTTGTATTTCCTCACTTATGCAGACACTGCAGCAACTCTTGCTAGCTAAATCACCTTTGATTTGTGAAAGTTCTATAAAAACAACATGTTGAATCTTCCTATCAAAGTCTATGTACTCTTCAAGATTTTCTTGAGCATACCACAAATGAAGCCAATGATATTGAAAATCTCAAGATTTTAGAAAAAAAGATCAAAGATGTAGTCTACAAAGCAGAAGATAGAGTTGATTCATGCTTAACAAACATGATTCTAGCTGATAATGAAGACGACCGCGAAAAGGCTTGTAAATTTTTCAATGAAGAATTACAACAAGTTGAAACAGAATTTGATTCTCTAAGGAAAGAGGTGATGGTGATTGAGCTTAACAAGCGTGGAAGCAAATCAACGGAGTTAGCAGCAACAACTTCTTTCTCATCAATCGAGGAAACGACTTATGTTGGGATGAAAAAAGACTACAAAGCCATACTGAATTGCCTCAATGCCCAAACAAAAGAGTTAATAGTCATATCACTTGTTGGTATGGGCGGTATAGGTAAGACAACTCTTGCTAGAAAAGTTTTTGATAATTCAACCATTCGTGATCGATTTGAGAAACATGCATGGGTCACTATATCTGAACAATATAATAAGAGACAAATGCTTCTTGAAGTTGCTTCTTCAATTACTGGAGTCAACAATCAAGAAATGAGCAATGATGAATTGATGGTTATTGTGTATAGAATTCTCAAGGGTAGGAGATTTCTAATTGTCATAGATGATCTTTGGAGTACTGATGCTTGGGACCAAATGCGAAGAATATTTCAAAATGATAACAATAAAAGCCGAATTATATTAACCACTCATCTCAAACGTGTTGCTGATTATGCAAGCTCCCCTGATTTTCCTCCTTATGATGTGTCTTTTCTAAGTTTTAAAGATAGTTGGAAACTATTTACCAAAAGGCTATTCAAAAATGATCGTTGTCCTCCACAACTACGAAAAATAGGGAAGCATATCATAGAACAATGTCAAGGATTACCTCTCTCGATTATTGTCATTGCTGGACTTCTTGGCAAGATAGGTGTGACATATGATAATTGGAAGAAAACTGAGGAAAATTTGAAGTCATGCATTTCATGGTTCGGTTTTAGAACAGTGTCAAGCAATTCTTTCTTTGAGCTACAATTACTTGCCCCCATACTTGAAGGCATGTTTTCTCTATATTGGAGGTTTTCCTGAAGATATGGAGATTCGTGTATCGAAGATGATGAGCTCATGGATAGCTGAGCAATTCATAAAGGCAACAAGTGATAAAAGGTTAGAAGTTGTGGCAGAGGAGTATGTGCAAGAGTTGATGGATAGGAGTCTAATTTTGGGTAAAACTCGAAAGCCTAATGGAAGATTCAAAACTTGCAAAATTCATGATCTTCGTAGGCAGTTGTGCATAAGAGAAGCTCAAATTGAAAATGTTGTGCATTTCCCTTACAGTGATCATGTTCTCACTTACTCAAATGACATAAATGATCGTAGACGTGTGATGATTCCTTTTTTGATTGAGGACTATTTTTGCGATCATCCAAGTCAAATGAGTGGTAAGATTACAACCCGCAGCTTGATCTTTATGGGAGCTGGTAAATCTTATCTAGTACCTGAAATAAATCACTGGCCTGATAGTATTTCAGATTTCAAGCTACTTAAGGTGTTGGATGCACGTGAAATTGGCTACGATTTCTCTCATATAATACGTCAACTTGTACATTTGAGGTATGTTGATGCAAGAATTGAGGATCCTTCTTCACTAGCCAAATTGTGCAATCTACAGACCATAATTGTCTATTTAAGGAGAAATGTGAAGCTCCCCGCGGAAATTTGGACAATGTCAGAGATAAAACACGTCAATATTGAACAAATGGATATGCCTAATCCCCTTAGTATTGAAGAGCAACAACCTTTATTTCTGAATAACTTGCAAACACTTGCTCTCGATTCCTCGCCTTTTTTGGCAGAAATCCTAAAGAGAACACCCAATGTAGATAAGCTAAAGATTAGAGCTGCTAATACACATAATGAGTGGTCTGATTTTGTTGATTGTCTCATTAATCTACTGAGGTTGGAAATGCTTAGTATAACAGCAACAGAAGACAACAGTCCATGCATTCTGTCTAGTGCTTTTTATGCGCCTAATCTAAAACATTTGAGATTAGCTTATACTTCATTGCCTTGGGAAGAAATGGATGTGCTTGCTAATTTACCCAATCTTGAGGTGCTCAAAGCAGATAGTGCATTCAATGGAACAGATTGGACACTAAATGAAGATGTATTTCAAAAACTAAAATATCTACAAATTTGGAGCGCAGATGATCTGGAAAGATGGGAAGCAACTAGTGATAATTTTCCAATGATTGAGCAACTAGTCCTTCAGCATCTTGAAGAACTAGAGGAGATTCCACAAAGTGTTGGAGAAATAATGACATTAAAATTAGTCCAAGTGGAAAATTGCAATCCTGCAGTCGACACAAGTGCAAGGAATATTCTACAAGAGCAGCAAGGCAGGGGAAATAGAATTTGCTTCTCTCAGGAAAGAGGTGATGGTGATCGAGCTTAACAAGCGTGGAAGCAAATCAACAGAATTAGCAAAAACTTCCTCCTCAACATCAACCGTGGAAACGACTTATGTTGGGATGAAGAATGACTATAAAGCCATACTAAATTGCCTCAATGCCCAAACAAAAGAGCTAATAGTCATATCACTTGTTGGTATGGATGGGCGGTATAGGTAAGGCAACTCTTGCTAGAAAAGTTTTTGATAACTCAACCATTCGTGATCAATTTGATAAACATGCATGGGTCACCATATCTGAACAATATAATAAGAGACAAATGCTTCTTGAAGTCATGAATTATAATGTCGACAACTCCAAAGAAGACATAATTAATTACCAACGACGAGTGATGCTTCTTCTTAATATTGACATGAGGCATGTTTATCAGGGGCGGCTCTAAGGCATGGCAAGTGAGGCCATTGCCTTAGGCCTCAAAAATTTGAAGGCCCCAAATTATTTAAATTAGTGTTATTGATTTTATTATATATTAATATAATTTATATAAATAAAATTTTTATGGTATATTTTTTATTATTATTTGTTTGAGAGTATTTTTTATCAATAAATTCATAAAGTCTCATAATCTTTTCACCTCATTATTTGATATCTTTGTTTTACCTTCCGATTTTAAATTTTATCCTTTTTATATAGGAACTAAGTTATATATGTGATAACATAATGAATTTTTGTTTCAATTTTTTCTTAAACTGCGTGAACACAAAAACATTCATGCACAAGCTTCCTTTTCATTTTAATTTAATATATTATATGAAAGTTTTATAATTTATTTCAGATATTCACCAATAAGTGCTACTTAATGGAATGAATTATATCATTTAAATTGATCAGAAACTTGATAAGGAGGTGTATATATTTTTGTTATTACTATCCATACTCAAAACCTTAACTATTAACTTTATTTTAATATATTATATGAAAGTTTTATAATTTATTTTAGATATTCACCAATGAGTGCTACTTAATGGAATGAATTATATCATTTAAATTTTTTTTATATCATTTAAATTGATCATAAATTTGATAAGAAGGTGTATATATTTTTCTTACTATCCATACTCAAAACCTTAACTATTAAGTTAATGTTCACTACAACAAAAACAACTTTTAGCGGCGATAAATAGACACATTAATAAAGAATGCTAAAGTTTTTACCGACATTAGTTAAGTGTCATTAGATTCAATGTCGCTAAAGGCTTTAGGGACATATACAAAGAGTGTTAATTGCCGCTAAAAATACATATTTAGCGGCAATTGAGCTATTATAGTGTCGTTAATTAATTGCCGCTAAAGATTATTTTTGATGTAGTGATTTTTTTCTTTTTCTTATTTGATGATAGCCAAATTAAAATTTCAATTTGATGTTTGAAGTTTAACATCGATAATCCATCACTTTATTTTTTTTACTCTTCTTCCTTTTTTTTTTGTGTGAAATTTGTTATTTTTTGTCTTAAATAATTAATCTATTGTGTAGAAAATAAATTTTCTTGTTAGTGTATAATTTTTATAAAATAAATTTAAGGGCCTCTTAATATGATTTTGCCTTAGGCCACGAGATCTGTTGAGCCGACCCTGATGTTTATCTTCCGGAGCACGGGAGTGGTATTAAAAATACAACTCGCAGCTTTGTTGTTATGAGAAATCCTAATGAAGTTCGTGTAATATGTCCTATTACTTCATGTTTCAAGGTTTTACATGTTTATTCTATTGATTACGATTTCTCTCGTGTTATACCTCAGCTTGTACATTTGATATATGTTGCTGCAAACATTAAGGAAGCTCCTTCAGTAGCCAGATTGTGGAATCTACAGACCATAATTCTCGATACGTTAGCAGGCTGGATCCACCTCCCTCTAGAGATCTGGACAATGTCAAATCTAAGACATCTTGAAATTGGACTGGCTATAGTAATGGCTAATCAACTATAGCCTGTCCTTAATGAATGAACATGTTGTGTTTCAAAAACTAAAGTATCTACGATTTGAGTTCGAACATCTTGAAAGTTGGGAAGCATCTAGTGATAATTATAGGTTATCTTTGATTATTATCTGATTCTTGAAAAAGAAGATCATAAGTTCTCTTTGGAGTGAAACATTGAAATTTGTAATAGCATATAAATGGAACATGGAGTCTGGAGATATGTGATTTATTAATGTGTCGTCTTAGGATATTTTGATACCTTGTTATGAACTATGATTTGCTCATTTGGAGAGCTTGTATAAGAGTGAGAAGTTTACAAATTGTGGAGCTTTTATGTTTATAAGAAAAAGTGAAACTTTTGAGATCTAAATAATATGAATGTCGAAATAAAATTTTAACTTTAAATCAACCTGATTCGTAGCTAAACGGGCCCTGAATTTAAACAAGCATTACACCTCCAATTTAGTGCTCTGAATGTATGTCTACACACACACTTGCAAGGCAATGAAAATAAGTTAATTGATATAGAATTCTTTCAATGCAGGATAAGTTGATTGAAGAAGAATTTGTTGTAGCTGAAAGCAGGGGCGGAGTTAAAACATGTCGATTAACGTAATACGTTTTGAAAGCAAATACAATAGTAAAGAAGTCATGTTGTAAGTAATATAGAAAAGAATGTGAACAACAAAAAATAATTATTTAGATTTGTCCTTTTATTTAGATTAATTTGGTTGAACAAAAATGTTTAAGATAAAATTACAATTATTTGTCCTAAATATAACATTCAATTTATGTTGAGAGGCTAGATTTCACCAATAAGACAAACTATCCATAGACCACTCTGAAAAATAGCTAAACCATCAAATCCTTAACCATATACTATAAATTTAGGCCTATTTCTACCCTTTTAGAGTAAATTTTTAGTGTAATTTTTTTCTTAACAAACTTCCAAATAAATTAGAATGTCAACAAAAGACATAAGAGAAATAGAAGAAGGAAATTGTTCAAATTATACCAATAATGCTAGTGGAGAAGATTCAAGCCTCTGTACTTCACCTGAAGTTGTCATTGTCATTCAAAAGGTTTGCAAATTCCCAAAAAAAAAAAAATCTTAAGAATATACGACGTTTTTTTTAATTTTATTTTTTTGGATTTTGTTATAGGTGTTAGCAGAGGTGATAGGAGCGTACTTTTTGATATTCGTAGGATGTGGTGCAGTAGCTGTGGATAAAACCTATGGTTCAGTAACATTTCCAGGAATATGTGTGGCATGGGGTTTAATTGTTATGGTCATGGTTTATTCTGTTGGACATATTTCTGGTGCACATTTTAATCCTGCAGTTACTATTGCTTTTGCAATCTTTAGACATTTTCCCTTCAAACAGGTTTTGATTTAATTTATTCTTTCATATTTTAAATCCCTTTTAAAATTCATCGCCATGTGTCAAATGGATATTAATGATTCATATGGTCGATCCTAATTGACTTTGAGATTATGTCATAGAGTTTATAGTTGATATAGTTGAAATGTCTATGTTTTGTTTCCTTGAGACTAATAGGGTGTTTGGTGAACCTATAACATTTCTTTGGCTTATTAATGCGTTTGATAGACATAAAAAGACTTGTAAGTCAAAAGTCATAAGTTGGTCATTTCTACCTTACGATTTTACTGTTTACACCTTATAAGCATTTTTTATTTGACGATTCTTTTACAATTTTATCCATAATATATTTTCTAATCTTTGAAATACTCTTCCTAAAACACAACTTTTAATATAAATTTTCTATTATTTTCCCCTTTCCTTAGCAGGCTCGAGACTAAAAAAATGGTTGAGACAGCAAACATCCATCTTGTTCGTCACTTTTAAATTATAATATTTTCTTATAAATAGTGTAACATTAACCTTTTATTAGTTTCAACACTTCTATGTAATCACGCATATATTTATACTAATAAAACAATTTCAACACCACATATAAGTGGTTTGCAACACTTGATGCTTGTCAGCTACTTTTATTCAGCTAAGACAAACACTATATCAAAAATAATTTTTAGCAGCAATTATTAACGGCACACAAAAACTTAATTGCCATTAAATATGTTTTTTAGAGGCATTTATCACTCTTTGTAAATGTTCCTAAAGCTTATAGAGACATTGAATCTAATATCAATTAACTAATATCAATAAAAGTTTTATCAATCTTTGTTAATATGCATATTTATTGCCAATAAAAGCTATTTTTGCTGAAATGAACTCTAAATTTGGTTAGTTATGTCTATTTTAGGTGCCATTATACATAATGGCACAACTGGTTGGGGCAATTCTTGGAAGTGGAACATTGTACTTGTTGCTGGATTTGAAAACACAAGCATTTTTTGGAACAACACCAGTTGGATCAAATGTTCAATCTTTGATTCTTGAATTCATCATTTCTTACCTATTAATGTTTGTCATTTCTGGTGTTGCTACTGACAATAGATCAGTGAGTAATTTTTTTTAAAAAAATTTCTTACTTTTTGATATATTTATAATAATTTTTTTTAATAAATTTGAGGTTGACAAATATATTTTAATTTTTGAACAGATTGGAGAGCTAGCAGGAATTGCTATTGGAATGACTATACTCCTAAATGTTTTGATTGCAGGGTAATTTTTATTATTTCTCCTAAAATTTCTTTTTCTTTCCACATGTGTTTATAAACATTTTCAACTTATAGCTTGAGGGATAAAGAGTATCTCAACTCTCAAGTACAACTATAGCTGTGTACAATTATAGGTAACTTCGGAGAAACAGTAAAATTGTCTTTGTATTATCTATAATTTACGGGTTTGAGTTGTGGAATCAACTAATATTTGTGTTAAGATAGGCTAGTTGCATCACACTTCCTTAGGATGCAATTCTTCCCCCTATTCGGAATAAATGCGGAATACTCACTCAATTGCCTTTTTAAAAAAAAAAACTATTTTAAACCAGAATGAAACATTTATATATCATGTATAAGTTGTACCAAGGCATAACATAAGAGTAAGCCATCTACGGGGAGAGTGGTGGGACAGATGAGATCCTATACTCTTACACCTTAATAATAAGGAGTGTCATGTATAATGCGAATCTGAATTAATCAAGTCAGTAAATTTCACATATCGAATGGCTAAAGAAAACAAAAGTAAGAGTAAGTCAATACAAATATTTCTTTTCTCCACCCCACCCCAACCTCGGATCAATAGTGTTTTCATTTCTCCTCGAGCATGACTCGAACCTTCAACCTAACCTATACAAATACAATTGGGCTTTGCTACAAATTCTAAAGGCCCATCTTTAATTCCTTTTTTGCAGGCCAGTATCAGGAGCATCAATGAACCCAGCAAGAAGTATTGGGCCAGCAATTGTGATGCATCATTATAAAGGGCTTTGGGTTTACATAATTGGGCCTATATTAGGTACAATATGTGGTGCTTTCACATATAACCTAATTAGGTTTACACAAAAACCACTTAAAGAACTAACTCTCACTAAAACTACAACATTTCTTAAGAGCATGTCTAGAAAATAATTAATTTCCATTTTTCTTAATTAATTAAAAAAAAATCTCTGAGCCCTGTGGCTTAAAATAAAATTAAGCCACTAGTGGCTTGTTAAGAGAAAAAAATTAATTATTAGTAAAAAAAATAAAAATAGAATTATTGGAAATTTAAGTATAGAAGTAACAATTTTCTTTTAATTTTATTTATTGGGTGTATGAAACCTGTAGTTTTTTTTGTTCAGATGTAAGATACTGAAATTGAATTGATCTTCTTGTGTAGTTTCTTTTTTACTTAATTCATTTATTTTACTTTCTTCTTTTATATAGTATTTTAATTTTTCGAATTTCAAGAATTGAGGGGAAGATATGTTTAATATAGTTATAACTTATAATACATTGACTCTAATAGGTAAAAGGAACAGAGAAAACTCGTGATTATTATAGATCGAAAGATTTATGACGTACGTCAAGCAAAGATCATGTATAACTCTCGTTATTTATTTCATTTTTTTTAAAATTCGTTCACTTCAATTTTGGTTCTGAGTCGGCTAACCTCTCTCAAATTTATTTTATTTTAAATATAATTTCAAGAAGACACTTTTTATTGTAACATGGAACTTCAATATAAATGTTTTCGACATTATTATTTTTTAAAATAAAAGGTCTATGTAGTTAATGAGTCACACAGGATGTTTGAGTTCATTGAAAGAATTTTCAGGCCGCTGTCAGTAATTTTTATATTTACTTTCTTTTTCAGTCATGAACTATATTAGAAAAAGAATATAATCAGAGGTGGAGCCAAGTTGGGATTCAAGTCCGTAATTTTAGTGTTAAAAGCATTTTAACGGTCACTTCTTTACCATTGAATCATTAATCAATTTCTTAAGAATTCATAAATTAATATACATATATATTTATTTAATTTTTTAATACAAATATACATTCTATGAAAAAGTTATTGAATTAATTCATTCAAACTCATAAACCCACCTATCTCCGCCTCTGAATATAATATAC